GCTGCCATAGACCAAGCAGTAGCCGATGGCGTTGATGTTCTCTCTCTGTCCCTTGGAGGATTACCAAGGCCTTATTACCAGGACAGCATGGCAATAGCGGCGTTTGGAGCCATGGAAAAGGGAGTTTTCTTTTCATGTTCTGCAGGAAATTCTGGCCCAATCCCTTCATCTGTTGGCAACATGGCACCGTGGATGACGACTGTTGCAGCTAGCTACACTGACCGAATCTTCCCTACTAAAGTTAGGCTAAGTAATGGCAAAGCTTTCAAGGGTTCATCTCTTTATTCTGGTGCAAAGAAGACTAAGCAACTCCCAATTGTGTACAAAGAAACAGCCGGAGGCAACAGGGCTGAGTTCTGCATCAATGGATCCTTATCTTCCAGCCTTGTGAAAGGCAAGATCGTTCTCTGTGACCGTGGTCTAAACGGAAGAACTGAGAAGGGATTTGTGGTAAAATCAGCAGGAGGAGCTGGGATGATACTACTTAATAGTCCCATTCAAGGGGAAGAGCTTTTTGCTGACCCTCATGTTTTGCCAGCTACCACAGTGGGCTCTACAGCTGCTAAGGCCATCAAGGGATACTATGTTCAAAACAAAAACTTAACAGGTTCAATCTCATTTTATGGAACGAGATATGGAGCACGAGCCCCTGTGGTGGCCGCTTTCTCATCTCGAGGTCCAAGCCTCGTGGATCCCTATGTCATTAAGCCTGACATAACTGCCCCTGGGGTGAACATTTTGGCTGCTTGGCCTCCAATTATTTCACCTACTGAGCTAAAAAAGGACAACAGAAGGGTGCAGTTCAATGTAGTCTCAGGTACTTCCATGTCTTGCCCTCACCTTAGTGGTATAGCTGCATTAGTAAAATCAGTCCATAAAGATTGGTCACCAGCTGCAATAAAATCAGCCATCATGACATCTGCTTATACTCATGACAACAAAGAGCATCTCATTTCTGATGCATTTGTATCTAAAAGTACCAAATTTGCGACCCCTTTTTCATTTGGGTCAGGTCATGTAAACCCTGAAGGAGCTTCTGATCCGGGGCTAGTATATGACATCAGTGCAGAAGACTACTTGCACTATCTATGCAGTATCAATTTCACTAATGCTCAGGTCTCCATTTTGGCAAGAAAGAAGTACAGCTGCCCAAAAGAAAAGAAGGGAAATTCCCTTCAGCCTGGTGATCTGAATTATCCTTCTTTTGCTGTTGTTTTCGAAGCTTTTAAGAAAGGAAGGACCACATTTACATACAAGAGAACAGTGACTAATGTAGGAACTCCTAAGATTAGTTACAAGGTTTTCGTAGAGATACCAAAAAATGTGAAGATTAGTGTTGAACCCAAAGTGTTAACTTTTAAGAAACTGGGTGAGAAGCAAAGTTACAAGGTGAGTTTTACAGGATCAGGAGCAAATATCACAACCAGGGCAGGAATTTCAAAATTTGGATCATTGGTTTGGGTGGGTGGACATTATAGTGTTAGAAGTCCTATTGCAGTTACTTGGCAGTAATCTCAAGATTTTTCTCTTTGTTTCCACAAATATAATTTGGGTTAACAAAATTGTTTTTGCTTAACTTAACACCTTTCAATCCTTAATGTATTCAAATTATTTATTTGAAGGGTTAAATTTGTTCTTCTTAATGAAAATTAGCTACTGATTTGTGCTTAATTTGATTTGCTTAGTAGATTGATTTGGAACAATTTTTTCCTTGTGCTCGTCACTTTGTTCAGTTGTCATGAAAGTTTAGTCTATATTCCCTACTCTTTTAATTTTTACGATCCCAATACTAAATCGAGGCATAAGTTAGTACTTATTGTTTTTATATAGCGTTATCTATTAAAAACGGATAAACATGACACTCGTTGACTTATACTCCATTATATATATATAGGGTTGAGATCAGGTGAGAAGGGTGATTATTAGACTACCATTATAGGTATATCAGATTTAAACTAGAGATACATTAGACTACCACTATAGGTACATCAAATAGAAATACATTAGGCTAACACTACATGTACATCAAATTTGACTTAGAGATACAACAATCATACATTGTATAAATACATTAAGGAAATTACGGTATATATAAAAAATACATTTTATAAATACATCATAAAATTAATGAAGATACATCAAACTAAGACTTAAGGTACATCAACAATTAAAAACAAATAGCAAAAACATCTATACTAATATTTTAAAACAGGAACTTTTGCAAGTCATAAAAAGTGCCACGTGCTCCCTCTTTTTTTTTTTTTTTTTTTTTCAATTTGCAATTTTACAATTTTAATCTCAATTATAAATGTGATAAATTAAATTATTTGTATGGAGTATAAACCCTTTGTTTGTTTTTTAATATTATTTTTGCTAAAATTTTAAATAAATAGGCAAAACCAATTTTTTTTTGTTGGCAGAGTTACTTTTTTTGCTTAATGCAATTTGTATTCCTTAATATTACATATGATATGATGGTTTTTTTTATTTTATTTTATTTTTTTTTTCCTGTTTTCGATCGGAAGAGATGTGTTATTGAATTTGTGTTTTAATTTTTTTTTTTTTTTTTGGATCCAATAAATTATTTTTTGAATAGATATGATTAGGGGATTGGGATGGAAGTGATGTAGAAGGGATGCTATATTTAATATCTATTTTAATAATTTTTTTGGATGGGTATAATTTAAAAACAAATGATGAGTTGCTGACACAAGTATACTCCAATTCTACACGATTGGGGAAGAAGAATAAATTACCATAGGTTGCATTCTTTTATCTTTTTTTTTTTTTTTTTTTTTTTTAATTAAAAAAAAACTTAAATAGCAACAAATTTGATGTGCTTCGTCGGAGTTTTTCGGCAACAAATCGGCTTTGTACCAGTGACCTGCGACGAAGTTTGAGCAAAATCAGAGATGGTAGTTATAGGGTTGGGAATAGAGTAGTATGCTATCAGCGCATCCACAAAAATAATAAAAGCTTCGTGTATTTGCAGTTTATTCTCGAATTGATTATGAGATTCATATTTTCGACGAGGACTTTGATTTCTAGATGGTTAGAGAAAAAAAGGGGTGAAGGAGTATGGAGGCAATTTGATTGTCGTTGGTTTATCAGTGGGATTTTGAAAAGCAGTTTTTGTTCTTGCATGTGCAATGAAAGTTGGTGAAAATTACCAATAATGCCATTAATGAGATGGGTTGAATATCAGCAATTGAATTTTCTAAATTTAAGGGTTATAATTGCTTCTCACACTTCTCATATAATCCCAAATATATATATATATATATAAACAAACAACTACATCTAGAATTCTTTAATTAAAAAAGGCGATAACCTGTAAAATTTCCCAAATTTTCAATAAGTACTCATTCATTGTCCACTTCTGGCTAGTTTAATCTTTCTTTGATGGCACATTTTTGTTGCTTAAGTTTATTATGACACATCTAGACAAATAGAAGTAATTACTAATTTAATACTAGTAATGTGTTTGGAAGTTTGGTGACAAAACATAATCATCCACTTACTAATGCTTAATAATTTAGGCTATAATATAAACAAATAATGCCCTTAAATAATAATTTTGTCTTGCAGTGGCATTCTTTAACTAGGTCTAAAAATTAGGGCTAGTGTAGTGGATAGACATGATCATCCACTTTCTAATAGAGTCAAAGGAAACCTTTTTCCATATTTTCCTTCCACTTTGACGAGAGTAATACTCTGTATTTTTTGATATTTTACCAGTCAAATTAGTTAACATTTAAAGAAAAAAGTCACTTTAATTAATTCATATTTAACTTTTAATGTTCATTGAATATTTGCCAATGAACCACTAATTGATAATTGTACGTGTAAAACTGTTAATTATTATCGATTTTGCCAATGAATTACCAACTGCATACTTTTGTCAATGGTCAATACAGCCAATACTCGTTCATGATAAAAAAAAAAAATAAGAAAAAAAAGAAGCCATCTTTTGTGACTAATGAACATAATGATATTATACTATATAGTCCATTGAGATGAAAACTAAATCATGTATTTTAATTTTATCATGTCTTGGTTTTTTATTTTTTTTTTTGGTACTTTGAGCATTTTTGCCGCATGTTAAATAAGGTCTCATTTGGATAGTTTTTTTTTTTTTTCTTTTTCCTCTGTAAAAACTTTTTTTTTTCATCTACTTTTAGTCAAGGAATTAATATTAATGCCTTTTTTATTTAAGAATTAAATATAACACAAAGTATGGGATAAGTCTGTTTTGCCTTAAGTCTACCCGCATAAAATTCCAAAAAACTTATTGGATTTTCAAACTAAGTGAAAATTTCAATGGCTTACATAAAATGTCCAAATACTTAATTTAAACACTTATATAAAATATCCAATAACTTATATTCGTCTCATCATGAGTCTGAATTCATCATACGTTACTCTCTCAATATACAATATTCACCCAAATAATAAGCTTATGGGTGTAGTTTTTGGTTGAATTTCCACCACATCTCTCTATGGGTTGGCTTCCTTGTCCATACATATGGATGGCAATTTATATGCTATCAAAATAAAGGTAAAATGAGTTAGGGTTACACAAAGTCTTGTGTGATGTGTAAGATAATTTATTTTACAATACTAGTACCTTAATACTGTGTACAGAGTACTTCATTTTGTTTCAATATAATGGTTACACCTTATTTTTTCACATTTGTCAATCTAAAATTTTAACATTAATTTTTTTAGTTATGAATATGTACAAAGCACAAGTGACGGTCATTGAGGAGTGTGTGAATAGTGACATGATTCATAGTGTAACCATTACATTGAAATGGAAGGAGTATAAGACAATAATGGGCATAATATGAGACAATCTCACCGAAGACTTGCTCAAATAGCTAAGCATCATAATGGAGCAACTTTTGTCTACTTTAGGGATACAACTTGCTTATATAAAGAGGATGCATCTAGCTAAGTTTCACATCAATATCCTATTCTTCATTTACTTGGAGCAGCAGATTTACTAAGGTAAGCAACTCTATCATATACCATCTTGGTCAAATTAGTCGTTTTTTGCTGTCACTTAATTTTGCGCACAAATTTTTTTGTACAGTATCATTTCTTATTACTGATAATAAATGTTCAGCAGGTAAGAAATAATCCATATTTCCTTATCATTCATAACTTATTGCGAGCATAATTTAAATCTTGGAGTTTCGAAAACTGTACTGATGCCAACTAATTAATCATCCTTTTGCAGCTACAAAGCCTACCAGAATGAAACCTGCCTGCAGGATATTGTGGCTGACTCTGATAGTTTTATTTGCTGTAGTATGTACTACATCATCGTCTGATAGAAAAACATACATAATTCACATCGATAATTCTAAACTCTTGGAACTAAAGAGTTTAAACAAGCAACCCCAAGAATGGTATGAAGAGATTTTACAGGTTACTAGTACAACATCAGCAGATGAAGTTGAAGAAGCATTGGCCCCAGAGCTTCTTTACACATACGAGACTACTATGACCGGGTTTTCTGCTAAACTCACCACAGAACAATATCAGCTGTTAACTGATATTGATGGGGTACTGCATGCTGCTCCTGATCAGGTACGAAGCTTCCAAACCACATACTCACCCGATTTTCTTGGCCTAGAATTAGGCCAAACAGGGCTGTGGAATGAAAAGCCGGCGTCTGATGTCATAATAGGTGTTGTTGACACTGGAATTTGGCCAGAACATATCAGTTTTTCTGACACAGGATTGTCTCCAGTTCCATCAAGATGGAAAGGCACCTGTGAGGAAGGCACAAACTTTTCGGTTACAAACTGTAATAGGAAGCTCATAGGCGCCAGGTTCTTCCATAAAGGATATGAAGCAGCCTATGGAAGAATCAACACCACCTTAGAATTCCTGTCTGCCAGAGATTCTCGCGGTCATGGGAGTCACACTGCATCCACTGCAGCAGGAACTGCAGTGCCCGGTGCTAGCTTCTTTGGAATGGCCAATGGTATTGCCCGCGGAATGAGGTAACTTTCTAACAAAAGTGAACTATTGGAAGCCACCTCAAATCATATGTATCCTCACTAATCTTACCATGTCTCTTAACAACAGTTTCACTTCGAGAATAGCAGCATACAAGGCCTGCTGGGAAGGGGATTGTGTTGACTCTGACATATTGGCTGCCATAGACCAGGCAGTAGCTGATGGAGTTGATATTCTTTCCCTCTCCCTAGTAGGAGATGCAACACCTTATTATAAGGATAGCGCAAGCATTGCAGCATTGGGTGCATCACAAAAAGGGGTCTTTGTGGCATTTTCTGCAGGAAATTCTGGTTCTTTACCATCCACTGTCGGCAATGTTGCACCCTGGGTGATGACTGTTGCAGCCAGCTCCCTTGACCGTGGCTTCCTGGGCCAAGTAAAGCTAAGTAATGGAAAAACTTTCCGTGGTGCTTCAATCTATTCCGGTAATCATAAGAAAACTAAACAACTGCCATTAGTATACAAAGAAACAGCTGGTGTCGAAAAGTCTACAGAATACTGTCTCCCTGGATCACTATCTCCTAGCCTTGTAAAAGGCAAGATAGTCCTCTGTATGCGTGGCATCAATGACAAAACCGAAAAGGGATTTGTAGTAAAATCAGCAGGAGGAGCAGGGATGCTACTACTTAACACTCCCAATTACGGCGAAGAGCTTGTTGCTGACCCTCATGTACTACCAGCCACCTTATTAGGAGCTTCAGCTGCCCAAGTCATCAAAGATTACTTAACACAGTACAAAAACTTAACAGCCGCGATTTCATTTCATGGTACGACATATGGAGCTAGATCCCCGAAGATGGCTGCCTTTTCGTCTAGGGGACCGAGTCCTGTGGATCCTCATATCATCAAGCCTGACATCACTGCACCAGGAATGAACATCCTAGCTGCTTGGCCCCCTATGTCTTCCATAACTCGGTTAAGTAGTGACAAAAGACGGTCACATTTCAATATACTGTCAGGTACTTCAATGTCCTGTCCTCATGTTAGTGGCATAGCTGCTCTGATAAAATCAGTCCATAGAGACTGGTCACCAGCTGCAATTAAATCAGCCATAATGACAACTGCTTACACTCGCGACAATAGAGGGCATCTCATCTCTGATCTATCTGCATCAAACAGCACCAAATACGCGACTCCTTTTGAGTTTGGTTCAGGTCATATTAACCCTGATAAGGCTTTAGACCCCGGTCTTGTGTACGACATCACAGGTGAAGACTACTTGCATTATTTGTGCAGTATCAATTACACTAATGCTCAGGTCACTCTTTTGGCAAGGAGGAAATATAGCTGCCCAAGTGACAAGGGGAAAACCGCGGTTCAGCCTGGTGATCTGAATTATCCTTCATTCGCGGTCAATTTTGATGCTGCAAAAAGAGGAAAGACTACATATACTTACAAGAGGACAGTGACTAATGTAGGAAGTGGTAAGATTAGTTACAAGGTATTTTTGGACCAACCTAAGGGTGTTAAGGTTAGTGTTGAGCCTAAGGTGTTACACTTTACGAAAACCGCTGAGAAACAAAGTTACAAGGTGAGTTTCACAGGATCAAGTAGCAGGAGTTTTTATTCCTTTGGTTCTTTGATTTGGGTGGGTGGAGAATATAGTGTTAGAAGTCCAATTGCAATAACTTGGCAATAGTATTGAGATAATTAATGGTTATCTCTGTATAATCATATAGTAATTGGAAAAATAAGGGAACATTTTGTTTTTTTTTATTTTTTTTTATTTTTTATAGGTTACATAATTGATTTTGGATTGATTAGAATTTCTCTAACTTGTGAGTTTGATTGTTGAACATTTTGCTTCCTTCATTTAACTTCCCTTGAATATAGTTTTCTTTATCGTGTAAGTAAGAAGTTTGACTTTGGAAGTTTCTACTTTGACAAGGGACAAAATCACAAAACTAAATGGCCAATGAAAATTTGGATTAAATCCAAGAAGACTATTCATTTTTTTTTCTTTTAAGTAATATTGCAACAATTTAACTACTTCGTATTATATTTATCAATGCTCAACATTGTAAAAATAGAATGTGAGAAAAGTTAACACATAAATGAAAAATATAGATAAGAATAAGAAAAAAAAAAAAACTAGTAACATAAAAAAGTGAGTGAAAATGTGTAAAGATTATATCGTGGAGGTAGGATGATAAAATTTGTTGAGGGCTAGAGGGAGTACTAACATAACTTTTGCAATCAAGTAATTGACTGATATCAAACTTTGTACTCAAATCATACTCTAAACTCTAAATCCTCACCTTCAATTTTAACATGAGTAATACTCAGATCATGTCATGTTAGGCGCATGAACAATCACGTACAATTTAATACATAGTAATTTATTTCATTATTGTTTAATGACTATCTTTGGAAACATGATTACTAGACGTAACCTACAAATAAAACACAACCTCCACAAAAATATTGGTTAGGTGAATCAAAATGGTAGAAAATAGAAATGTAGGTGTAACCAAACTCTACTTTGATTTGGTGAACCATAAATAATTTATCGGACTTATTTCAGGTGAAATCCAACTATATTTCCTCATTTAATCATTTTTTTTTTTTTTTTACCACAAAACAAACCTAACTCATAACTTGGCACAAAGCACACGACATTACACATTGACACGTCCAATACTCACCATTCCTTGAAATTATTTATGGAAAAAAAAAATACTTACTATAAAAATCAGCGCATTCTGTGTATGATTGGTCATACCAGGTGACCGTTTGTAAAGGAACAAGTTAATTTCTATAATACAGACCAAGTAACCTCGCAACACTAACCGAGTAACCCTATAACACTGACAAAATATCCCGTATAACACTAACTGAATAATCCTATAATTCTAACGAAGTAACCCGTAATAACCGACCACATATAAGAATTTGTGTATTCAACATTACATTACACAAAAAGTCAAAAAGTCAAGAATTATTTTCCTTAATTAACAAAACAAAAAAAAAGTCAGGACTTTTCCATGCGAAATCAAAACAGTATCTCTCTTCTTCTCCTTCCTCCCGTCTCTCTCCACCATCATTATTCCCTCTGTTTTCACCATTCTGAATTTTCCCTTTTATTTCTTGATCTAAATCTAAGCTCAAGCATTCATAATCTTCACTTAATTCTAATCAAATTCACAAAAAAAACCCAGCAATTTGGTAAGCTTTTCATCGATTTTGAGGTAATGATATTCATTTCTGTTTATCAATTGCATGATCGTTTCTTGAACCCAGAATTAGTTTGCTAAAACCCTAGAAATCTGAGAAACTAGATTCTGCATCGTACCCTTATATTTGTATGATCTGTTGCTGTACTAATAATTAACAAACCCATTTTGGATTTTGCATAATTTTCTGGGAATTTTGTTTCATCTTGTAGTTTTGATATATTATATGTATAATTAATTTGATTGAAACTTTGGAATTTGGGTTTGATTGATTGATTGATTGATTATGGATAATAGATATGGTTCTGGACCTCCATATCCTTATGGGTATCCACCCCCAAGTCAGCCATACCCACCACCCCAAATTCCTGAGGTATACCCTCCACCACCACCCCATAGTTCTGAGGCATACCCTCCACCACCACCCCATAGTTCTGAGGTATACCCTCCACCACCCCACAGTTCTGAGGCATACCCACCACCCCCACATTCCCATTATCCATACCCGTATTCGCAACCGGCTTACCCGTATCCATATACGCAACCGGCTTACCCGTATCCGCCACACCCGTATTCTCAACCTAGTTACCAAGTTCCACCTCCTAGACCTTACTCATATTCAGGTCCTCTTCCCCAAACTACTGCACCTCCACCAAGTATACAGCATAGTAGTAGTTTTCAATATGGTTCATCTCATTACCAATATCATCCTGATTCGAGTCCATATCCGGCCCCTAATGCCCCTCCCTTGCTTCCTTCGCGGAGTAATAGCTTTAGTAGTGCCCATGGACATGATAATGTAGTGAGTGAGTTGCCAGATAGTAGTGGGGTTGGTGTTGGTAGTAGGCCTTCCAATGCTTCGATATACCCTCCTTTGGATGATCTTATGTCGGGTATGCGATTGTCTGATGTTCGCCCGTCTGCCCCTGCCTCACCTCCTGCACCTTCTGTGCCTTCGATGGATAGTTTAGCTTTAACCACCCCTGCAAGTCCTGGTGGAGAGTTTGGTCATCATGGCAGCTTGCATGGGATACATGCTAGAAGTCCTAGTTGGGATAGTTGTTTTTCTTGTGTTGGTTCTCCTAGTTCTTCTAGTTTTGAGAGCGAAGGTATGCAGATCGTGCCCTTACAAAAAGGGTCTTTGAAAGTTTTGCTCTTGCATGGAAATTTGGATATATGGGTTTACGAGGCAAAGAATCTTCCGAACATGGACATGTTTCATAGAACTCTGGGTGATATGTTTGGAAGATTACCTGGGAATGTAAGCAATAAAATTGAGGGTCATGTATCTCGCAAGATTACTAGTGATCCGTATGTGTCAATAACAGTATCCCACAATGCTGTAATTGGGAGGACTTATGTGATCAGTAACGAAGAGAATCCTGTGTGGATGCAGCACTTCATTGTTCCGGTGGCACATTATGCTGCTGAAGTGCACTTCTTGGTCAAGGATAGTGATGTTGTAGGATCCCAACTCATAGGAAGTGTATCGATTCCTGTGGAACAACTGTATTTAGGGGCAAAAGTTGAGGGTACATATCCTATCCTTAATGCTAGTGGGAAGCAATGTAAGGCCGGAGCTGTCTTGAGCATTTCCATTCAATATACACCCATCAAGAATCTAAGCTCTTACCACCATGGAGTTGGTGCTGGCCCTGATTATCAAGGGGTTCCTGACACTTATTTTCCTCTTAGGAAAGGAGGAACAGTTACACTTTATCAGGATGCTCATGTTCCTGATGGCTGCCTTCCAGAATTTATGCTTGATCGAGGAATGAAGTATGTGCATGGAAAGTGTTGGCAAGACATATTTGATGCTATACGACAAGCAAGAAGGCTTGTGTACATTACAGGGTGGTCAGTTTGGCATAAGGTTAGATTAGTTCGTGATGGTGGAAATCATTCATCTGACTGCAGCCTGGGAGAGCTTCTTAGGTCCAAATCAGCAGAAGGAGTGAGAGTTCTGCTTCTTGTGTGGGATGATCCTACTTCAAGAAGCATATTGGGTTATAAAACGGTCAGTTGCTTCTCCCAACTTCATTCTTTAATCATATATATGCATTTAGTCTGATTTCATTCTTCTAAAATCTGGATGTAGTGGGCTTAATAGCAGATTTATGATTCGTTTGTTATCCAAACACCACTAATGATATTGTAGTAGGCATACTTTCTTGCAATTTTATGCTTGTTAATGTGTTCCTGAGGTACTATTTCCACATCTTATATATCTCTAATAATACAGGATGGAATTATGGCAACCCATGATGAGGAGACTCGTCGTTTCTTTAAGCATTCATCAGTGCAGGTGCTATTATGTCCTCGCGTTGGTGGAAAACGACACAGCTGGGTCAAACAAAGGGTAAATGCTACGTTCTTGGTTTTGTGGTTATGATGTTTGTGATGAAAATTTGTTTATTCTTTGGCCTGATAGTTGGCTTTGTTGGAACACATTGTTATTACTTTGAGTGTTCGAATATCATAGAGTTTGAATTGGTCATGTCTCCTGGGTGTCCTATTTTTCTGTTTTTGGCACAATGCCATAGTCTATGCTGTTTGGACTCTGTTTTCACCTGCAAACACTTGTGTCAATTAGGAACGTTGAGAGTGCACTTTAGAAGAACTAAGAAAAAGAATATGGGAATTTAGGCACAAGTATAACACTTTCTCAGTTGAAATTAAATACAGGAAAAAGACACTTAAAGGCTGAATCCAGTCAGTCCTCTGGTAACATAAGTAAACCAACAACGACAGTCACCACCTGAGTCCATGCATGTATGTAACAGTCAATTAAGAGGTTATACTTTCCATTCTTTGAAGGTTCTTGCAGTATTTTTCGACTACCATATTGACTTGGATCAATTTACTTTTTACTACTTGGGCCTGAAGTCTAGGACCCACCTAGTGGCAACCAAACTGAAACACCTATCACATTCTGTACTTCTAGTGTCTAGATTCTCAACTTGGTGCTGCACTTCTGCTTGCCAACTGAGTGAGGTTCATTTTATTAGGTGGCTTATTTTGTTGAGAAATGGGAAGTTGATATTTGTATTTAAACCAACTGCACAATCTGGAATCAGCATCTTTTTACTTTTGTGGCAGCATTAAATAGGCTTGTCCAGGTCCATTGTTACTAGATTGTTATGGTTTGCCTATCTAATATTTTCTGTTTCCTCTAAATTGTTATGTATGAATTCAGTCTGAATATGCTGTTTCGTGTTTCCTTTTAGGAAGTTTCAACAATTTATACCCACCACCAGAAAACTGTGATAGTTGATGCTGATGCTGGCAATAATAGAAGAAAAATCATTTCTTTTGTTGGCGGGCTTGATTTATGTGATGGGAGATATGACACTCCGGTCCATCCTCTGTTCAGAACCCAGGATACAGTACACAAAGATGACTATCACAACCCCTCATTCCAAGTAATTCTTAATAACTTCTCCATTCTTAATGGTCACTGCTACAGCTGTAGATAAATTATGATGTGCTAAATGTTTTATAGTAAAACACATTAATCATAACAGGAGATGGAGAAAAAAAAAAAAAAGAAGAGATATTTGAACTTGCAATGAAAAGAACTTTTTTTTGAGTATACCAAAGGGGAACGGAAGATCGGCATTTTGATGGGTTGAGGTTATGCTAACTTCATCTCTAAATTTCGTATAAAATTGGTGTGCTCTAATACGTTTTCTTGTGAAACTTTTGGACAGGGCAATACCACCGGCTGCCCAAGAGAACCGTGGCATGATTTGCACTGTAAAATTGATGGGCCTGCAGCATATGATATTCTTACCAACTTCCAACAACGATGGTTAAAAGCTTCTAAAGCACATGGGATCAAAAAGTTAAAAATGCCTAGTGATGATTCATTACTGTTAATTGATCGCTTGCCTGACATTGTTGGTATATCTGATGTTCCTTGCCTTAGTGAGCATGACCCAGAATCTTGGCATGTACAGGTATCTTACACTAGTTTATTTCTGTTTCTGCATTTTCCACCTAAGGGTAAGAGAACTAAAACAATTTATATCAGGTTTTTCGGTCTATCGATTCCAGTTCTGTAAAAGCTTTTCCGAAGAATCCAAAGGAAGCTACTAGCATGGTGAAGAAAATTTCCTGCCAATTCTTTTTTTTTGGTTGTTTATTACCGCCCTTTACTTTTTCTTTTTAGGTGTTACTAAAGTTGATAAGCCACTTTGAATTTGTAGAATTTAGTCTGCGGGAAGAATGTTTTGATTGACATGAGCATACATACAGCATATGTGAAGGCTATTCGAGCTGCCCAACACTACATCTATATAGAGAATCAATATTTCATTGGTTCTTCATATAACTGGAGTTCATACAGAGAATTGGGTAAGAATTACTTTTATATAAACTTGCAAGGATGTATCTATAATATTTTGTCACAGTATTGCATTTGCTTCTGCTGCCTTGTTATTACAATTGATGTATTTCTATGCTGTTATTTCTTACTTTTTGTTCATTTTTTTTTTAATCAGTTGTACTACTACACTACTCTGTATTAGTTAATCTATTACTGTCTGTGCTCTTCCACAATTATCATATGGAAATAATGTATTTCTTTGCTGTGGTTTTTGTTTATGATGGCCCATATGCTGGCATTGAATGTTATGTTATTTGATCCCCCAGATCCATTCAGTGGCCTGCTGATTTCTATTCTGTGTACTATTGTGACTATACTTCTGATATGGCATGTATCAAAGGGCTAAATTGGTGGATGTTGTGTGGATTGGACATTACAGCTAGTGATGGTGGATGGTCTATGCTTGTGTGCAGGTTTTAGACAGCATTGTGATAGATGAACCTTTTAGAATACTGCTTGTCATGCTTGATTTGGCATTTTGACCTGGCTGTCTTTTCTTTATACAGTAATAAGAAAAGAAGTTTTCCTATCACTATCACCCCTTACTCTATGTAATTTATTTTTAGAGTTTTGTAAAGGGTAGTGTCCGTGAGAAGAGGCTATTTGGAGATATCTCTAGCTTCAATGTAGTTCTGAGAATAATATCGACTCCTGTTGATTCTTTTTTTTGATTTTTCATTTGCCACAGGTGCTAACAATTTGATTCCCATGGAAATTGCTCTCAAAATTGCTGAGAAGATCAAAGCTCATGAGAGATTTGCTGCATATATTGTTGTCCCAATGTGGCCAGAGGGCGTTCCAACTGGCGCTGCTACTCAGAGGATTCTCTTTTGGCAGGTGAATTCAGTTTGTGATTTAGGTATTGTATAAGTATAAGCAGCTTCATTACCCCCCCCCCCCTACCCCCACCCTCCTTCTTTTTGTGGGAAGTGAGGTGGGGGATCGGGATCTTCTGCAATAATAGAATTCTTATTTTTCCCCGCAATATAGTGTTGGATAGCTTCCACATGTACATATGGAGTGCAAATATTGGCACTACATTGTGAAATCATGAAAGGTCTGCTGCTGCAGCCTGTCATGAAAGTGTTCCAATTGAAATTTCAGATATGCAACACATTTGTATCTTGAAATATGCCATATTTTACTTTTGATCTTTTAAATTTGTTCTTCATTTTTCAATTAGAGAATTCGTCTTTTTCACTAGGACATAGGGTGTCACAGAATTACTGAGAATCAAAAGGCCAAGGAACAGGGTCTGGGAGTAAGATTTGAAGTGAAACATTTATATTTTAATCATCTTTATCATCAAAGATACAAAGAAATGCTTTAACTCTCAGCTTTTGCCATTCTCCTGTATCTCCATTCTGGCAGTCATAAACATCTGTAACCAACAGCTATGCTTCTCTTTGTTCGACAATGGCTGCAATCCCACAATGGTAAATTGGTAATAATAGCATGTGTACGTCCGGAAAAATAAAAGAGGGGGGGGGTTGTCTTTAATCTTTCTGCTTTGTTTTATTCCGCCATTGTTGTATAATTTGGTGGTCTCTTTGATTTTTTGGTAAGATACTTGCCCTTTCAACATACCTTTGATTTTTAATTTTTATTTGTTCAGATTTTGGTAGGGGAAGAAAGGATAGAACTAAATCATCCAGTTTCCTTAGAAGATAGAGAGGATTTCATGTTAAGGAAACTAGGCTTGACCACCCTTGAGTTTGAGAGTGTTGGTTGTTGTTGGTGTGTAGGCATTGTATTAATTTTGAGGATTAATCTGGGTTTTACTTCTTACTGATTAAACAGAGTTCCATAATAGTTTTCTTTTTGCCCTCTTTGCCTGAACCATATAGTTTAGTTAATTCAAAGATGTACAAATTTTTGTGCAGAACAAAACAATGCAAATGATGTATGAAACCATTTACAAGGCTCTGGTTGAGGTTGGCCTTGAGGAAGCTTATACGCCCTTAGATTACTTGAACTTCTTCTGTCTTGGCAATCGTGAAGCTCCAGATGGGAGTCCCGCGTCAGCTGGAGGTCCCCACCCTCCAAACAGTCCTCAGGTGGCCATTCATTTTCCCTTGAGACTACAATTTTTTGTTCTGAATGACTATGTAAATTCAAGCAGTCATCTTTTGGCTTCTGATTCTTTTAAACATTGACAAAGTTCTGCATTTCATTATTCTCTTTAAGCTTTGGTATTTTATCCCTCATGTCCATTGTTGCATCTGTGCATATGTAGGCTATGTGTCAAAAGAGCCGAAGATTCATGATATATGTTCATTCTAAAGGAATGATAGTGGATGACGAGTATGTGATTTTGGGTTCTGCAAACATCAACCAACGGTCAATGGAGGGAACCAGGGACACAGAGATTGCAATGGGAGCCTATCAGCCTCATTACACCTGGGCCAAAAAATCAGCTCATCCTTTTGGACAGGTATGACAAGTTCCAACTATCCACATAAGCTCCTGTATTGTACACCATATTATTTTAGTGCCTCTGTGGTTCTATAGTAGGGTGTCGTATAAGTATGGAACCATGTGCTGCAAATACTTGATTGGAGAAGATTAATTGACATGCTACTTGACCTTTGAATTATGAGTAGAAGAAATTTTTTTGAATCATTTGTTGGAACTTCATAAAAAATACATTCAAAGATAAAGCCCAAGCTCAACACTCAGAAATTGGGAAGTGAATATTTGGTAGTATACCATATTTCCATATGGAATAGAAAATATGTATATGATATGCTGTTTGCGAATAACTGAATAACTGTGTTCTGCAGATATATGGGTATAGAATGTCTCTTTGGGCTGAACATCTTGGACTTGTTGATGACTGCTTCACTGAACCAGAAACTATAGAATGTGTTAGAAAAGTGAGGGGTTTGGGAGAAATGAATTGGAGACAATTTGCAGCTCCAGAGGCCACCGAAATGAGGGGCCACCTCCTTAAGTACCCTGTTGAGGTTGATCGAAGGGGTAAGGTAAAATCTCTTCCGGGATGTGAAAATTTTCCTGATCTTGGCGGTAACATATGTGGCTCCTTCATTGGAATTCAAGAGAATCTCACCATCTGATGAACTTATTGCCACCACCTTGCAACAAATAACTGTTCAGGTTTTCAACAGATGCAACAAATTTTGAGACTGAGACGGAAGTTATAGCTTAGAGGCTAGAGTTAAACTTTGATTTATACCAATAGCTTTATTTTTAACTTGTATGTTTTCCGAGGATGTAATTAAGCATAGTGTTGGTAACATGGTTTTTCTTGGTGGATAATTTGTTGCCACCCATGCTTCACTATACATGAAGTCATGTACTGATAAAACCATATACAGGTAGGATTATCTGTAAAAGTGATGGTGTAGTGTAATAATCCATCCTATAATCAAATTGTTTTTGTCTTTAAGGCACTTCTTTAACTATGACCATTTTTAAAAATGTAAAGTATTATATATATTAAATGTTATAAAAGTTTGTTTTTGAACATTTGAAGCAAATTTAACAAGATACAACAAGATTGTCTTGTTTCACAACAGTAAATCCTAGCTATCAAAGGTTTGTGTTTAGCACCAATGCACCATGTTAAAATAAATGATCCAATATTGGAAAAATCTAGTAAATTTTAGCAAATTTGACAACTTTACACTAAATGGGACAATTCGAAACACAAATTGCACAACTAGCTCAAGAGATATTTACAAGTTTAGCATGTTTAGTATTCGGGTCTATGTCCACCCGTAGTCCAAGCTTAGCTAGTTCAGGAACCTCTACAGTTCCTTGCATCTCCAAATCAGCCACCATCTGCTGGTTTTCGGCATTACCTTGCAGAATATTGCTTGCACACCATATGCCCCATTCCCTTAAGAAAGGATTGTCTTCATCAAGAACACATTGCTGTAAAAGAAGAATAATCCCATTCTTTTCTCTCACTTCAACTTGTACATACTTTCTCCCAAAAGAACAATTTGCAATGACTGCAACAATATCTCTTCTAAAGCCCTTGTATGGACACACCTTTGATGGCTGAGAAGTAAGACCTTGATTCTCACCAGGTTTCATGGATTTCCTAATAGATGATGGTAGCTCAAGTTCACGGAGGAGAGATAAGAGCAAGTCCAAGAGGCCCCTCGAAACCAACGAATCCACAGTATCCTCTGGAACTTCTTCAGTATCAGCAACTTGAGGTTTCCCCTGTGCACATATATCTCTCAAAACAGTGAGTGAATATCCGAGGACATCAATGGTAGAAATGCCTGTAGGCAGACCAGATTCGCCTCTTGTGTAAAAGTCAACAGCTTTGACAGCTTTCTCAAATATGCCAAGAACAAATAGGGCAAGCTCAGGACCAACATGAATCTCCTTTAGTCGCTCATTCAAGATTTCGGAGAGGATGCGCAAAAGGAAAGCTAGTTCTGTAGTAAAATTTATACCTCTACTTTCATCATTGCCTAGATTATCAAAGCCACCATTTAGACTCGTGAATAATGCAGAAAAATGAGATTCCTCCAAACAAATTCTTGAAAGAATTATCTTTAGCCAGTCTTCTCCAAAACCAACTGGTAGAGATGTTTAAAAAAAACACCAATTAAAGACTAAACATCAAAATATTTTGGAAGTTCAGAAGTTATGTGATTACCTTCTGACGCTGTCTGAATGATTTCTGCCATGATAGCCAATCCTTGAGTTCTACAAAGTTCGGGAAACAGTTTAATGCTTCCATCGCTACAAGTGTAAATAATCATACACAAAGGATCACAAGTTTCTCTCTTGCGAATTCTTGCAATTTTGAGAAACAACTCAGGGAAAAACTGGTCCCATATTGCACACTGGTGCTTCTCCCCAGCAAGTGAAACATTGGCTACCACCTGTAAGGCTGTACGTATAATTGCAACACCCGAATCATCAATATCAAACCCCACCACATTGATTGCACTAGAAACAACTCCAAGACCATTACACTCAATGAACAAGTTCTGATTCTCTACGTCTCCTGCACAAAGGTTCCTAAGGAGGCGAAGAGACAACAATAGAAAATGATGTGCCGATAAATGAGGTATAGACTGTATTAATTGGAGTACAGCTGGGAGTATACGCTTCGATGCAAGATCTGACCGGCCATCCTCAGTTCTCGAAACCCCTATAAGACTTTGTAGGGCTTCATTCAACGTTGAAGAATTTGAAGCCTTTAACAAAGGCTGCAGAATATCTTCTGGTATGTATATTTCCCCAGACAATGCAGCATCCATTTAACTACACAATTTTCCAAAATTTATACTAATATTAAAGTTTCTCAAATTCAATCATTTCCAAACCAATCTCATGACTCAATCACACTACATTAATAAGGCAATGATAAAATATTAAATAAAAAAAAAAATCCCATATTTTACAGAATATATCAACCATCAAATTCTGAAAATAATATCGTACACTCGAGACCATGATACACATCCTATCCCCGAAATCAACATAGATTATTGAAATGTTAAGATTATAATACAAATTGATCAAAATAAGGGGCAATCAATTCCAAAATGACCTAAAATTTCAATTTTGCAGGAGAAAGCTCTCTGCTTTCCACTCTTGGCTATCCATAATCCAAGAAAACATCATTTATTATGGCAAATATCTTCTAATTTCGTAGTTCAATCCTAACCAAATTTGATTCAATTATCGCATAATTTTAGGGATATTTGATTCAATTATCACTCATCATTTTTTTTTTCTTCTAATAACATAATCGCTGGTTATGATCTTTCATAATCTTAGCAATTAGAACCAATAGTTCAGATTTTCGAATCCTAACCTAGATTGTGAAATTGATACGATGATTACGAAAAGAAACAACAACTCACCTCAGAAGCTGCTTCAGTGGGGGAATACAGGTATTTCAATGGAGAACGTCAAGTGCGCTTCAATGGAGAACGAACTGAGAGAAACAGGAGGAGGAGGTAGGGCTACGTACTGCCTAGTGCCTACTCATTGTTGAAAATCGGAGATTATATCAACAATTAGCCATTTAGCCCAACCCAGCAACCCCTAATTCCTTAACATCAAAACAATTCACGGTTTTTTTTTCCAATATTTGCGAGTTAGGTACTTGAGAGTAGGACCGTAAGGGGAGGGTAATGCAAGTTAAGGTACTTGGGAGTAGGGGGGAGGGTAAAGATCTTTACCCCAACATCAAAACAATTTGGGCCCTTTTCTTTTGAACTTCTAGACAGAGCAGAGCAAAAATTTATTATTATTATTATTATTATTATTATTATCGCATTATTTTATTATTGTTATTATTATTTTTATTTTTAATAATATTATTATTATCATTATTATTATTACTATTAATATTATTATTATCGCATTATTATCATTAATTATTTATTATTATTATTATTATTATTATTATTATTATTATTATTATTATTATTATAAGAGAAAGACTTGTGACGGATATTACGCTGCTGCAGTTAGGGTTCTTTCGTCATCTGGTCTTGCCCGTAAAATGATGCTACTTTTGTACATTTACAAGCTAAGCATCCTTCCTTTCCGAATCCTATATTACCGGATATCCCTGTTGATCATCACCTTATTGCTATACCTACTGTTGTTTTAGACCAGATTAGGGGTTTTCCGCGTGGTACGTCATGCGGTAGAGACGGCTTGCGTGCTCAACACCTTATGGATTGCTTAGTGGTGCTGCAGTTGCTATTTCAGGTGAGGAGGACTCTATTACGCAGGTGGTTAATCTCTTTCTCGTTGGGAAATGTCCTGCCGAGTTGGGAGAATATATTACTAGTGCTCCTCTCACGCCACTTGTTAAACCTGGTGGTGGTATTCGGCCTATTGTTGTAGGTACCGTTTGGAGGCGACTGGTTTCAAAGGTTGGCGCTGCTTTAATTGGTCCACATTTGGGAAGTTATTTAGGAGATCTTCAGTTTAATTTGGTGTTGGGGTGCCGGCGGGTGGTAAGGCTATTCTTCATGCTGTTAATCGTTTGGTTGAGGCTCGTGGTGGTGATGTTGGCCCTTCTATGTTGCTTGTGGATTTTCAGAATGCCTTTAATTTGGTTGACTGTTCAGCTATGTTGCGTGAGGTTCGTCTCCATTGTCCAGCTCTTTCGCGTTGGGTTGAATTCTATTACTTTTCTCCTGCCAGGTTGTTTTATGGGGAGCATACCTTATGGTCATGTCAAGGAGTGCAGCAGGGTGATCCTCTTGGCCCTTTGCTTTTTGCTTTGGTTCTTCATCCATTGGTGTGCTGAATCAGGGATCCTTTTGACTTATGTTTGCAGGCTTGGTATTTGGATGACAACACTATCATTAGTGACACCTTAGTAGTAGGTAAGGTTATGGAACTGATTTTGGTGGAGGGACCTCGTCTCGTCCTCTATGTCAACGTTGAGAAAACGGAAGTTTTCTAACCCTTGGAGGACCCTCGTAGCCATCTGTAGGTGTCTTTCCTCCGGATATTGCTCATTCTGTGCATGGTGTTAAGTTATTTGGTGGTCCTGTCAGTGCGGATTCCTCTTTCTGTGGTGAGCTTGTTTCGCAGAGAGTGTCGAAGACCATTGTGCTAATGGATGTTGTTGCTAACCTCGATGATCCCCAATGTGAGTTGTTACTTCTTCGTGCGTGTACTAGGGTTTCCAAACTCTACTTTGTTAAGCGCACTTGTACCCCTCGTCTTTTTGAAGCGGCCCAGACTTCTTTTGATGTGGCTCTTCGGGCTTCTTTGGAGCGCATTGTAACTGCTTCGGGGCCTGATTTTGGTGATTGGCAATGGCGACTTGCCACCTTACCTTTTGCTTATGGTGGACTGAGTGTCTATTCAGCGGGTGATGTTCGGCACTATGCTTTCCTTGCGTCGCGTTTGCAGTCTTCTGGTCTTCAGGCTATACTTCTTCGCAATTCTGGTATTGTTGGTCCAGGACCGGCCTTCGATGGTGCTCTTAGTTTTTTTAATAGGACTGTGGAGACTGACCTTATGAGTAACCCTAGTGAGATCGCAGCCCCCAAACTCATGAAGAAATTGACAGATATATATTTCACGAAGGTCACTGCATATGCAGATCTACTTTCTCCTTATCTTCGCGTCAGGTTGCCTTATGGAAGTCCCAGCAGGGGGATCACACTTTGGCCTGGTTGCGAGCGGTCTCGATATTAGGTTTGGGTCAGACTATGAATGGTAAGACTTACCGTTGTGTTCTTTGCTACCGGTTCGGTGTTCCTTTGTTCTTCGTTTCGACACCGTGTTCTGCTTGCTCAAGGGTTTTTGATGGGGATATGTATGGGGATCATGAAGTGTCTTGTGCTAGGATGGTGGGTATTAAACATCGGCACAACGTTGTTCGTGACACCCTTGTTGATATTTGTTTTTGGTCTGGGATTTCTGCAAGAAAGGAGGTTAACGTTGGGTTGACTGGAGGGAACGACGGGGCTCTTCGACCAGCAGATGTGTTGCTTTATTCCTGGGATAGAGGCCTTGATGTATGTGTTGACTTGACGGGTCTTCTCCTTTGACTCAATCTGGGTTGTTTGAAATCGTTACTGGTCGTGTTGTATCGGCTGCGGCTCAGCGGAAGCGTGACAAGTATGGGGCGCATTGCAGGGCTATTGGCTATGGTTTTCATTCTTTCTCCTTTTCTTCATTGGGGGGAATTAGAGAAGGATGTTGTACAGGACGAGCAATATTTGGAGGAAAGACACCGACTAGACGGCTACGTGGGTCCTCTGAGGGCCAGAAAACTTCCGTTTTCTCAACGTTTACATGGAGGCCGAGACGAGGTCCCTCCACCAAAATCAACTCCATAACCTTTCCTACCACCAAGGTGTCACAAATAATAGTGCCGTCATCCAAATACCAAGCCCGCAAACATAAGTCGAAAGAATCCCTAATTCGGCACACCAACGGATGGAGCACCAAAGCAAAAAGCAAAGGGCCAAGAGGATCACCCTGCTGCACTCCTTGACATGACCTTAAGGTATGCTCCCCATAAAACAGTCTGGCCGGAGAAGAGTAACAGAATTCTACCCAACGCGAGAGAGCTGGACAACGGAGACGGACCTCACGCAGTAAAGTCGTACGATCAACCAAATTAAAGGCATTCTGGAAATCCACCAGCAACATAGAGAGGCCAACATCACCACCACGAGCCTCAATCAAACGATTAACAGCATGAAGAATCGCCTCACCACCGCCGGCACACCAACAACAAACTGAAGACCTCCTAAATAGCTTCCCAGATGTGGACCAATTAAAGCAGCCCAAAAGGACAGGGCCTTGGTAAAACGTAGAGCAGAGCAGAGCAGATTTCAGCAGAGCAAAGCAGAGCAGATCAAAAGAATAGAGCCTTGGTAAAATGTACTTTTATTACGTACAATTATTTGACTTTCGTACATAGTTTTGACTTTTGAGGTGTTTTGATCATTTCAAAAGTATTTTTTTTTGCAAATAATATGACTGCAAAATAATTATACAGAGTATTCAGTTTTTTTGTGAAATTTAATTATTAGTTTGCTACAATATAAGAATCATACACTGTAATATTGAGTACTATGTAATTAATACGAAGTACTTCCTTCATTCTAATTTAATTGACATATTTTGACTTTTGCCACTATTCACATAAGTTTCTTTGACTTTATTTTGTGATTTAATCTTAAGAAAAAATATAGTTGATTAGGATCTTGTTTGATTCGGCTCAACGTCTACCTTCCAAATATCAAATTTTTATAATATATTGTTTTACATAACTAAAGATATTATTTGTTAGCGCACCTAAAAGAAATGTGTCAACTAAAATGAAACGGGGAAAGCATATATGTTTATGGAGTCAATGATATCATATTATTTAAGTGATAGAATAAATGAAAATTCATTGGCAATAAATATTAGCTCTCATTATTGGTAAATCATACAAGATTGATTATTTATCATATGCCATTTTTCTTAAAAAAAAAAAAAATTGATACAAAGATTGTCATCAAAACAGCAGCTTAAATGCTTAATCTTCAGCACTATGATCCAGACATGTAAGTATACCGTGTTTGGGCTCCGAAAATCAGGTCGACTAATTTTTCTGCATGAAGTAGAAATCATTAAAACGCATATTAGAAAATTTTCACAACAGCAAAAGTCCACAACAGTGATTATTTTATCCTATATCATCCGTCTAACTTCAAAATGTCACGAAGTTCTTAGGATCACATGAGAAGCAAGTAATTTTTATGGAGGAGAATAAATTGAAGTGGTAAAACTAAGTTTGCAGGGATGGGGGTGAAACAGAAAATTGATATGAAATCGCACCTGTGAGTAATCCTACAACAGGAATAGGTTCCAACACCTTTTGGGTACTTTCAAGCCTTCGTCTGTAAACATAACACAAGTACAAACCGCTCAGATACATATCTTTACTTTCAGAGAAATTTAAGAACATTACAGATGACTAAAACACCGAACCTGGTATAAGTGCAAAAGAATGGATCCCTCATAATATACAGTGCCCACAACACTTTCCGCCTTCTTAGCTGCAATCCAACACGCAACAAATTCAATACTAAGCTTCATGCTAAAAAACCTTTAAGAAAGAGGTTGGTTAATTAAAGATAATGTATAAAATTGTTAAAAAAAGAGAACAATTTATGACCTCGTCCTTCTCAGCTACAGAAAGATTAGTCTCTTTCTGTGCACTTGTCCCCTCTTTTGATTTTGATGCTAGTGAGCTAGCGCTTGAACTAACCAGGTCCACGGCTAGTGAAATGAGCCATGGTTTCCACGAACGAATCCCGTATTTTCTGATAAACCATACATAAATGAGAGGCCTCAAGATAAATAGTGTCTCCCCCATCAGAAACAAGCCACCACGAAGACCCTTCTCTGACAATATCGAAGAAAGTGTTGGTCTTTTAATCACTAAATCTGTAAAAATGCCACACATGAATAACTGGTCGATTTTTCAGATATGAAATGATAAGAGCCAAACTTAAAGTTCCAGATCAGTAAATACTTGGAGTGTTTGTGATTGCTCCTGGCTGTTGGGTCCTTCTAAGCCATGTCGGATCATAAACCATCCTAGCATTTTCTCCAAACCTATTCAATGCGGCAAGTGCCTTCCCTTCATGATTCCATGGATTTTGAATGTAATGATTGTTGAGGTATGCAGGCCTCTGATCTCCACCAGGTTTTGCCAAATCTCCAGGATTATTTTGAGGATTTGAGGGATCATCAATGTTTGGTGTTTCACCACCGTGTAGAAGCATCTTGTAGCCACTATCTCGAAACAATGCTAATCTCAGCAAAGCCCTGAAGCAAGTTGCACACAATATATTAAACATGTAAAAAATCAATAGGATTATGCAGGTACAGAAGATGAAGAGCTGCACACAAACTTACTTAGAGGCCTCTGTAATCAAGATAAAGTTCCACTTTTTGTCATCTCCATACAATTGTTGCGCCACAACTTCAACCAATGTCTCTGCTTCCTTCAAAGCAGATATACACAACGAAAAAGGAAATGATGATGATGTGGGCACTCGCCATTGTGCTGGTGTTGGTGTTGTCTCAATTATATGTTCATTGATTGCTGTAAGTATGCCCAATATCGAAGTGACTGTATGCAAATCATCAAACATTATCTAATTAGAAGACCACTTGATATATCCTAGGAAAAGGCAGCGAGGAGTGTAAAACCGCACCAAAAGCAATTGGTAAAAGCTAGTGAGAAGAACTTAAAGGTTACCAAAGTTTCACAAAACCTGCTTCTGGCCCAATTTCTGAAGCAGAAAAGCGTTCGGGAAGAAGCCATGTCAATCCCTACACGAAGACGAAGAAGAAAAGACGTCAGAATACAAAAAACCAAGTGACAACCCACAATATCCGTTATCATTTGTACTTAATTTCTAAAGAAAAATTAAGGACAGATGAAGATACTGTCAAAATGCAGGACAAACTCAGCCCTTCGTCAGCCAGTCAAGGAGTGGACAAGGAAAAATGTTCTTCAGTATAAAAGCAATAAGCAATGAGTGGAAAAGGAAAAAAAAAGTTCTTCACTATACGATTAATGAACAACGACTGCAAGGGTAATACTCATGATTGTAGCTACATATTTGGGATCCAAGAAGATTAAGAGATTTTGTAAGGCTATAACATACACAACACACAATTGTGAACTGGATACAAATTGCACTCAGTGAATGTCTTATATGGGGAGAAGGAGATAAATTTACATATAAATTACTTCTTGAAACTAAGCCATTTGACCAGCAGAACACTGATAATCATTATACTTCTGATATTAGCGTTGGTTGGAAACTCAGAGTCTGCAACAAGTCCCACCAGCATCACTTATTCTACAAAGCATATTGTTTGTCAATGCTGCTCCAGGGAGTCAATACAAGACCTTGAATACCATACAGACATGATACGGCATATAAATATGATACTATATATGTTAATCTTCCTGCAGAACTCTCTCAAGAGCAAAAAATTGATCCCTAACCTGAATTCCCCAGCTGATAATCCATCTAAATATCAACTAAACTTGGACAATCCACTGATGATGATGAAACAAGGGCTCAAAATTATTCATCTAATACCAACTAAACTCGAACAATCCACTGATGATGATGATAAAAAGGGCTCAAAATAATTCATCTAAATATCAACTAAACTCGAACAATCCACTCCTATTTGTACTCCTACACAACTTCCATACAGAGAGTAATAATCAAAATCCGCTTATACACCGCCTACACGCGCGCGCACACAAACACAAACACACCCACCAACATTTCTGATTGTATAACTTAAGCCTACCAAATCCTAAAGCTTCATTAATCACATCAAATTTAATACAATATACTCAATTTATTATTAAAACTACACATCCCAATCAATATTCACACAGCTAATTACATACTCCAACAAATTTCTGAGAATTAACAATCTCAGACCACAAAATCATAAATAAAAGACCAATGCACAAACCTGCAGCATAATCAACATAAAGTTTCATCCTTTCAGCTAAACTATGCTAAAATTGCAAAACCCATGATCCCTAAAGTTCCTAACTGTTAAAATATTCAATAATTAGCAATAAAAATTACAAAAATAAAACTTACATTAGCAAGAGATTCCAAGGAATGAACATAATCTTTGTTTTGGCGAACCCAATTCTTGTAAGCCTCCATCTTTACCAAATACTTACAATTTAATTGACGCCAAAACAAAAAAAAAAAAACAGTACTTTCTAATTTGTAAGAAAATGAAGATGAAACCCTAACTCGGACTCACTGAGTCATCTACCTCCAACTGCAAATCTGTAATACTTCCAAAGTCCCAATACTATTACAACTGTACAAATTAATTTTTTTTTTTAAATTTTGGTTTAATTTCCCTTTCAAGGGTATATTGGTCCTTTCCTTTTTTGCACGTGAGTATTTAGGTTGGTACAAAACCGACGTCGTTTAGTAGCAGAGTAAGACCAACGCTAAAACCCTGCAAAAGTATCAAGCTTTCATTCCATCTTCTTCTCAACTCATCATGCAACTCACTCTTGAATTTGGGTATTTTCTCTCTCCTCAATTTATGTTTCTATTTTCAGTTTTTTTTCATGGTTAATTATTATGTTATTTTTTCATGTTTCCCTAAAATCTTTAGTCTTAAATAGAATTAGTGATTATTGAATCATGAAAAATTGTAGTGAATTTGGTTATGGAATTGATTTTCTTGTATAACGATATATGGAATTTAATTATTGAAATTTTAGGAATTTGTGAAGATTAAGGTTATATGTATGATTAATGGGAGTTAAGTTTAGTCCTTTCTCAACTGTATTGTTTCCAGTCTGCTTCCCTGAAAAATGTGAGTTCCTGAAGTTTGAATAGTGATATAGGAATTACATTGGTTATATTGGTTGGATTAGGGCCATAATCATAGAAATGGTAAAATCAATTTATGGAAATGCTTATTCTTAGCTCTAGGTTTGTTGGCAACCGATTGCTTCATAAATGTTAGCTTCGCGCTTGCACCTTTGTTGTAATTGGCGATGAATAGATACAAGTATATTCTTATGAGAACCCCTTTTGTTGATGTTGTATGATTGGAACTGCTTGAAACAAATAGCTACTTCGTTCGTCTTTTACAGTGTGTTTGGATAGATTAGGGGGGAGGAAAAGAAGGGGAGGGGGAAAAGAAGGGGTGGGAAGAGAAGGGGAGGGGAGGGAAGAATGAAGAGTTTTCCTTCCAAATCTCTCAATTGTTGGAGAGATCAATTTCTTGCAATTTGATCCCTTCATTTTTTTCCCTCCAATTCTCTTCCTTCCTCATTTGTTATCCAATGAGAGATTATCTATCCCTCAATTTCTCTTCCCTTCCTTTCCCTCCATTTCCTTCAATCCAAACAAAGTGTTAAAGATTGCCCTGTCTCCAATTTTCACTTTAATTAGAGTTTTATTGAGTGGGAAGATAGATTTGTTTATTACGAGTACTATGTAGGATGATAAGTAGAGAGCAATTGTAGGGACCATGCCAACTAAATTGGAGATGGGGGCAATCTTTATGTGATGACCCAAGCAGAAAATTAGGGTATTCTTTAAGGGACAATAAACAAATATTTGGAGTGATAGAGTGTTGTAGAAAATACTTCATATCTTGTAATAATACCTATTTTGGCGTTGGATAAACATGGGTTATTGTTCTAGAAGGCTAGAACAATGGAATATGAGTGCAATTGAGGATTTGATACCTTATCTATTTAGCCAAAGTAGTGTGAGACCTCATGTGAAGAAAATGCTCGTCAGGTCCACTCAGAAATCCTAAGGATGTGGAGGATGGTTCTACATGTGGTATATTTGAATGTAAACATCAGGTACGTCGTTTTGAAGTTGATTAGAAGCACCTGTTTGACGTATAGGTGAATCAATGTTCAATCTGTGGTACACGCTGAGCAATTGTACTGAGTCTCGGCCACATTGTAAAGGTTTTTGAACTTAACATGACCGAGATGTTAGGCCACCACAGTCACGAACCATCCATATTTACCATAAAAGTGGTTTCATGCACAATAATGTGTTCGTGACCGCATCCAAAATTCAAAACCGTGCTGCTGAATTATTGCAATCTGAACAACCAATTTCATGATTGATTGAGTCTCTCTAATGCTTAGCGAAGTGGGTAGAGTATGGGGTAGAGAAAAGTAAATGGATTGGCTGAAGTTATGTGATGTATTTGCAAGAGACAGTTCTATATACTTTGATATAGGGAGGTCTAAATATATTGAAGGCATCCTTTGCTGAAAGATTCCAGCTAGAGCATTAGTGTGGCTGCTGGGGCATAGCAACCCTTTACATTTTCAAGTGTGGCTAGAATGAGATATTGATTATCCAGCCAGCCAGCCTTGTAAATTTTCAGAGTGAGGGACTGAATCTTTGTGAATTGCATGGAATGTAGGATCTGTACTTTTAGGGTTTTAGGCTTAGCTACAAGGTTTATGCTGTATTAGCTTGTAACTTTTGAGATAACAAATGCAAAGTACTTACTAGTCAGGTATTTCCATCTTATCTTTTGGTCAGCTTAATATTCATGTTTCAGTCAAATCTATGCAGTGACGTTTAATAAGCTATGCCTCCTGGAAAGATGCTTTCTTGTTTTGAGATGTCTAAACCCTTTTTATAGATGCTTTATGTTGCCATTCACTCGTTTATACCATTTTCTGTAATTTTGAGTAACTTGTTTAGGATATAAGTCAAATTACAGATTGATTTATATACTTCTCCGTTGTGTTGCGAAGGGTCTTTTGATTCAAATCACTTGATGTTTTGTTTTTCTTCCTTATAATATATTATTATATCTAGAATATATTTTCCTTTATGTGATATTTTCTGCATAGAACACTATCTGTGGTCTTCTTTTATGCATTATCTCTAAACTTTGGTCTCATTATGGTGGCTTTCTGTGAAGAGGGGGCCTAGAGCTTTTGTGCGAATCCAAAAAGGTCCACCATGTCAATGTCAACCTATCAGATGGAGAAGAGAAAGTGAGTTTCTAATTGACACCTTCCATCTTCAAAAAGCATTTTGTAAAAGAAAAGGAAACTGGGGAGAATGAGGATTACAAATGCTAGTGTAAGTTTTGATTTGCTTCAATTGACCTGCTTTTCATGTTATTTGCAGCTAACCATGAAAAAATTGCTGTCATGGGTTAAAACAAATCTTATAAAAGAGAGGCCTGAGATGTTTATGAAAGGAGATACTGTGTAAGCTCTGAAATTTTTTCCCTTTCTTAACTGTAGTTATTACTCCGTACTTAGCATATTAGCGTGTCCTATCATCAGCTATATTTCACTTTCTGATGAGAAGATCTATTTGATTGGCCTGTCCCAGTTGAATGGGTTTTGGCAGAATTTCTGCCCTGGCCTGAATCATCAGTTTCAGCCAAAATTAGTCATTGGCTTGCTTGGCCTAATCTGTCCTGCACCAATTTTACTGGCTTTGGGCATGGGCCAGAATTTCAGGCCCTGATTAAACTTTTTTCAGGCCAAAGCCTGCCCTTGTCCATGTTCACCTCTGCTGTTGAGTGTTGAGTACCAAGGCTAAAGTCGGTGAATCAAGACTAATTATTTGTTGTTACATAGCTTACATGTGAATTTTACTAGTACAAGTCTTATGACAATAGCTAAAAATATCTCGTAGCACTATTCTGTTGACTGTCATCAATTTTAACGTCTCATAAAATCACAACATTCAACTGCAGGAGACCCGGAGTTCTTGTGCTGGTGAACGACTGTGACTGGGAGCTTAGCGGTCAGCTTGACACCACACTTGAAGAGAAAGACGTGGTAGTCTTTATATCTACCTTGCACGGCGGCTAATGCTAATACCTGTGTTCTGTATTCTACTTGATCATAAGACAAACAAACATTGTTAGAGAGTAAATTTCATTAAGATGTATCCTACGAACTTGGAGATAGTGATCAATTTCCCTTGTACTGTTTACTGATTATTACTGCTACTAAGGTATACAAATCAATGAAGTGGGACGGTGTTTTGGCGCCACATTTTGTTCGAGTGTTTTGTGTAATTATCAATTTTCATTTTCTTCTTGTGATAAATTATGAATTTCCCGTTTCCAGTCAATCAAAGAAGTGTGTGTTAACTTGGAATGTGGAAAAAATTCAGTTGTCCCCCCAAAAAAAAAAAAAAGAATTTGTTGAGAGTGGGATTTGAACCCACGCCCTTTCGGACCAGAACCTTAATCTGGCGCCTTAGACCAACTCGGCCATCTCAACGTTGTGATCATGATTTTCTCAAGAAAGCATTTAACACGTTTTAACTTTAACCTTTTAAATTTAATACGTATTGTACAAATCCATACTTATAGTTAATTAAATTTCATACACATTATTTTGTTTTCCTATTACTATAATGCATGTATCCCATCCCATCACGAGGTGATAAAAAATCGGGCCGGAATACTTTTATGCATAAAATTTTGTGCCCAACCCCATAAAATAGTGTTGGGCTTTTTTGGGTTTTGAACCAAAAATGCAATTTTAGCCTTGTTCAAACCCGTATTTTTTCGAGTTGGGCTACCAGGGCGGACCATTGATAATCACCTCTAATCCTACCATATATCTCCTTGATTGCGACATTTAGTTGACCTCCACGTGGTAATTGGGTGCTCTATATGACTTAATTAACAACTGATATCTAAAGTATTATTTTCTCTATTGACGTGTGAAATTTGTATGTATTATCTCTTAAAAATATTACTCGTAAATTATTATGATTATTTTGGATACAAAATTCTTAAACGTTAAATATTATTATCTTGTATGACTTTGTATTATATAAATAAATAAATAAATAAATAGATATAAAATAAAAGAGCTCATATATGGAAATTTATCACTAGTCTTATCTAGTAAGATAATACATATGACGGTTGATTATTTAGCACAATTTTAATATAATAGGAAACTAATGTTATTATCCTCTTGAAAAAATAACCTCTATTGGTTTAGTAAATTTTCACTAGCCGACTTTCCATATAGTGATATAATTACGTGTAGTATAATTGAAATCCTTTTATTTGTGTATAAATAGGCCAAATTAGCGCTAAAGTTTCATACACAATACTCGTTCTTTGTTAATCCCTTTTTTTGTTGGTATTCTTACGTACAGAAATTATAATGGCTAAACTCAACAAAAAATTTGATAGTATTATAAGCAAAATGGCATCATTAAGTTGTGTTTCTAATCCTAAGAAATCAAGAAGCAACATGAAGAAGCAGATCAAAACCAGTACGTCTTCAACTCCGGCTTATTCTACTAATAAAGGTGT